GTGTAAAATAAATCGGTTTTCAGGAATTAGAACGATTTTTCACATTTTCATGCTGCTTTATTTAATATTTAATGTTTATGGTAAATCTATGTTAAATGTTGAATTCATTATTTCTTTTTTTACCAAAAAAAAAAAAAAAACAAGATTGCATTTGAGAAAAATGCTATGCCACCGCATTAATACAACACTAAATAGTAGTGTAGGAACAGATTTTTTTTTGTTTCTATACAATTGAAGATTGTCATAATGCATAGATCCCTGACCTATCTAATTCTTATTATCAGATTAGTGGTTAAATCTATTGTTAACTCAATAAAAGATCAGAGTAGGAATATATCAATGCACTTGAGTCTAGTGAATTTGGTGGTGAAGGTCATATTTCACACAGCCTAAAATTTCATGACTGCATCAAAGGACAACATGTAATACACTTTGTCAAAATCAAGGTCAGCTGATATCAAAGTTCACTTTTAATTTTGACACTAGAGGCAAAATTTGAACAACTTTGGTAGAGTACCTAAAGATGATATCATTTAACAAATATTAAAGCTCTAAGCCTAGTACCTTCAGACAATAAGATTTTTTTGATTTTTTACTATATGTATATATTGAAAATCAATGACCCTGGGGCGGGGGCAATTTTGACCCCAGGGCTATTATTTGAACATTCTTGCTAGAGTTTCACTTCACAATGTTTCATGCAAAGTATCTAACCTCTAGCATTTGTCAATTGCTAGAAGAATTTTTTTAAAGTTTTTACTATAAGTTTTTATTATGTAAATATGAGGAAAATCAATGACCCCCAGGGCCGGGCCGATTTTGACCCAAGGGCTATAATTTGAACAATCTGGGTAGAGGTCTATCAGACAATGCCTTATGCAAAATATCTAAGCTCTAGGCCTATGGGTCTTTATAAAAAGGTATTTTAAGTTTTTACTATATGTACATATAGTGAAAATCAATGACCCCCGGGGCGGGCCGATTTTGACCCCAGGGCTATAATTTGAACAATCTTGGTAGAGGTCTACCAGACAATGCCTTATGCAAAATATCTAAGCTCTAGGCCTATGGGTCTTTACAAAAAGGTATTTTAAGTTTTTACTATATGTACATATAGTGAAAATCAATGACCCCCGGGGCGGGCCGATTTTGACCCCAGGGCTATAATTTGAACAATCTTGGTAGAGGTCTACCAGACAATGCCTTATGCAAAATATCTAAGCTCTAGGCCTTTTGGGTCTTTACAAGAAGATTTTTTAAATTTATTCTTATAATTCCTTTTTGTTGCCATGGCAACCAGATTTCTGCATGGAATTAAATTCTTTGAACAACTTTGGAAGCCCTTCACCCAAGGATCAATCCTGCCAAGTTTGGTTGAAATTGGACTAGTGGTTTTTCACAAGAAGATTTTTTAAGTTCACTATATAATCTATATAACACACACACACACACACAAACAAACAAACACACACACACACACACACACACACAGGTGAATCGCTATATGCCACCGCATCTCAGATGCTGCGGTGGCATAAAAAAGGGGAAATTAAACAATATAAGATCTCCTTTATCAATTCTGGATTGAAATGTTAACAGGTTAACAGTGCAATTATTATCAATTTTTATATAAAATTCATACCAGTAAGACAAAAAAATTATTTTTTTCATTTTTGAATTACTTTGCCAAAAAATTTGCCGTCTGACCATGGTAACTATGCACTGTTCACTTTTTGTTAAGTACATATTCTAAATTTTCCCCTAAAAATTATTTTGGCCTGATTAAAAGAAAACAAAGAAAAAACAGATTTATTAACATATTTAGCATGGTAAGGGTTAATAAATCATCAGGTATTATTTTATTTCCAGGTAAATAAATCTATCAAAGGTAGTAACATATAACAACTTGACTGTGAAAATAGACTGACATTAAGTACTAACTTAATATCATATTCCTCCGAATCAATATTACCGAGCATGTCACATTGCCAATACCATACTTAACAACGGTAAAACCTGTTATAATGACCTACATATTTATGTTTGTTTATTCTTTTTTCTGGTTTCTATGCCAATTTCAACATATTTTTGGTCATATCTTGGCATTCTCTAAACCTAACCAGTTTTTTCTGGATAACTAACCAGTAATTGGTAAGAAATGAATAAGCATTTAAATCTGGCTCTAGCTTGAATTTGCTATATGAATTACTCTAGGGTATAAAACAACTGTTTTGACTGACCACCTGTTATCAAAGTCCATCTTTCCAGTCCAAAAGATTGTATTTCATTGCATATACAACTGCCAAATTGTAAAAGATTATAAACAAGAGTTGCTGGTATTTGGGAGCTAATAATGTTTATCAGGTCTGGATAATGAAGGAAATTTCAAAGAAAATTGCATTAAAAAAATTTGATATATAGCTATTTAGTATTAGTATTTTCTAAATTAACTTTCAATAATGACCCCAAAGACATGTGTTAAAGTTTCAAAGTAATATCTTCAATTATTGTAAAGACTGAATTATTGCACACTAAACTTTAACCAGAAATTTTCAAAGTTAAAAGAAGGTCTTAACTTCAAGCAGAATTCTTTTTTCCCCACTGTTAAAATGAGGAAAATCAGTAAATGTAATTTTTTTTGGTATAATTCTTCTTGTTCTGCCACTTTTTATATATATAAGTGTATGTATATAAACATAATTATAGTCATCTGATTTATACAATATTTTCTATAGAGATGTGACACAAAATGTCTAACATTCTAACCATTTTTATATCATTAACTTACAAATGACAACTCTGGCTATCAGATGCTGTTCTTATAATTGTTGCTAGCAAAAATTACTTGCAGACGTTTTGCAGCAAATAAAATTTGCTTCTCTGACCATATTTAAACAGTTTTTCACAGTTCTGTAGTCTGAGACTGGCTACATTAATATTTCCAGGTGCAGTTTGAAATCCATTTATTACCCTTACCTTTTCAATATCACTGTTATTATAGAATATCTTATATACATGTATATTAATACATTACTTTCTGTAGCATAAGCAGAATGTATGTACTGTATTAACAATATCATTACAATGCCATGGCTTTATATGGGGAGATATCATATCTCTGCAAAGGCTTGAGATTCTGAGTGTAAAGAAGTTAATGGCTTCAAACAAAACATAAGAGGACCATAATGAGACCAGATCGCTCATCATATGAAATTCATTGCCTTTGAGCAAAATATATAGAGGTTAACTAGACAAATTCACACACTTAGTAACTTAATAGCTCTAAAACTTGTGTTAAGAGAAGATTTTTAAAAGTTTCCCTAATACATTTTTCAAGACTCAATATAGGTATGTGAAGGTAATTTTGACCCCAGGGTCAATTCTTTGAACAAACTTGGAAGTAGTCTTTATACACTGCTACACACAAAATAATCCTAGCTCTAGGCTGGGCATTACAGTTATTGTGAAGATCTTTCAAAGTTTTTCCTATAATTATGATTTCATGTAAAATTAAGTGATCCCTGGGTTAGGGTCAGTTTTCACCCAGGATCACGATTTTAACAAACTTGGTAGGGGTCTTAAAACTTTACATTGCTACACACAAAATAATCTTAGCACAAAAAATGAAATATTAAGAGGGACAATATATCAATGCACTTTTTTTAATCAAAACAATACCAAGTCACATCTAAAGCAACTATTTTTATTTATTTTTTTTATAAATTTAGCTTACGCCAGCAGTTTTACTTTAGTGCAAATAGGAAGATCTGGAATTTTTCTATGCAATAGACATTAAAAAAAAACCAACAACAAAAAACACACAAAATGTACTAAGTTATTGAAAAAAATCTGATGAGAAAAAATTTTCCCCGGATGACTGCAATATGAGACTTTTAAAGAGGCTGGGATTTATGGGGGAAAAATGTTGTTAAATCAATCCCAACCACAATTAGAAAAGTTGTGTTACATTTCTCAGATTTCCTTTTCTTTCATTACCGTAACCATGGAGATGAATATAGACACACACAGAGCAGAGATGTTACTAAAATGTCACCTGTAGGTGTACTAGCACTATTCATTTTGTCTCTCCTCATTTTCTCTACCTCCCTGTCATTACTTAGCTAATGACGGAGGCAGACATATGCTCTATGTTAAATTCAACAGCCCTCCTGTCTTTCTTGCTGTCTTCAGACCAAGATAAGGACAACAAAAAGATGGCATATTAAATTCAACTGCATGTACATGAACAACTTTAACCAGTGCCGTTTGTGATAAAGATTTGCAATTAGAGTCTTGTTTTTTGTTTTGTTTTTATGTTTTACTTTTAATTATTTTCTTGACGTTGTTGGCTAGTGTTTTGTTTTTATGTGCTACTTTTGATTATTTTTCTTAAATCCATAAGATCAACTTATCTTTTTATTAAATTAATGTATATGTCACGATTGCCAGATCAGCAGGGACAGGGCCTGATATACCACAGTGGGTAAACAAAATCACTGTATCATGTCTTGCAAGCATGTTCAATTTAATGTGTACCTGGTCTTGTGGTTACAAGCACCTGCTTCTTCTTATTGCTGTACTTTTCTTGTGAGGCAATATAATATTCCAACTTGTATATTTCTTGAAAATATAAGTAGAAGACTACTGTATCCACTGTGTATACATATATTTACATATAGTAATGCTTAAAAAAACACAATTGTTGCAATGATATTGTCAGACTGGCTGTTAAAGCCAAAAATCTGCCAAATATAATTTAGAGCATTGGCCAAGTGCGAGTTTGGACAGTTCACAAAACTCACCAATTATCAAACTACAACAGGCTTCACTGTATTGTGTTTTTAATAAATAGACAGACAACACAATAACCCCAGAAAAACAATAGCCCCAGATTTATATTCAAAACAGGACAATCTTTTTTTTCTTTACAAATATAGCATGTATTAATATACAGTATAGCAATTCTGTGCTAGAGATTTTAACATAAAAAATTAACTTACAACATTTCCAATGCCAGAAGCTTCGAACTTATAACCTGTTGCTTTCTCCAATTCACCCTTGTGGTCACCTGTAATACACAAACATAACATTATAGGCTACACAAACTCTTTTATATGCTTTGATTCATCATTTATTACTAAATTTTTAAATAAAATGTTTTCTAGTTATCTATACATTCCATAGTTTTAAATCAAATAAGAAGTGTGACATTCGCATGCTTATCTCATGACTCTGCACTGTAATACTGACAATACACACAAAAACATAAACAAAGTTTTTATCTATTAATTCAAGTAAAGAACAGCAAAAGATAGTAATAGGTCACACAAAAAGATTGAAAGTAAAGGATGCACAGAAAATTTAATATTGATAGCAAAGCAAATATTAAATAATGCTGTATAAGCTATATGAGGCACACCAATACTGCTAATATGGTGTTTTCTAGGGAGCATATAAAAATTTCAACAATATATTTATTAAAATGTCAACATTCTTGGTATATCTTTAATTCAGTTAATTCTCCAGAGTGCCGAAATAATCTCTACCAAAAACATTGTTCCAGTGAGCATGAGCCCCGATCATACAAGACATGTTCTGACTTGGTGATAATGTTTTCTAAGGTCTGGCTGTGGCAATGGCAAATATAGTTTGACAACATAACTCGTAGATATACATTAAAAATTGTCTTTAAAACAAAGAAAAAACGATAGAGAACACCTTAAAATTCCACAGTGAATTTCTCTTTGAGAACTTTTTAACAAAAAACGAGTTTCTACACAAAAGTGTGTTTCACATTGACAAACATAAAACAAGTTTCTACATATATTTCAACAGTGTGTTTCTCTTTGACAAACATAAAACAAGTTTCTACATGTACTTTAACAGTTTGTTTCCCCCTGACAAACAACCACTTGCCCCTAACTGCTGTGGGTTCGAATCCCGACAGGAACTTTGGATTTTTTCATGTGAGAAAGCTATCCAGCTAGCTGACAGAACACTGTTGGTTTCACTCAGATTGAGGTCTTCTCCTGCCAGTAAAGCTGGATCATAGCCATATGACCTATACTGTGTCGGTGTGATGTAAAACCCAATCAAACAAATGATCTTTGACAAACAAAAAACTAGTTTTTACATATTCTTCAACAGTGCTATTCTCTTTGACAAACACAAAATGAATTTCTACATGTACTTCAACAGTACGCTTCTCTCTGAAAACACAAAACTGAAGTTACTACATTGTACTTCAACAATGCATTTCTCTTTGACAAACACAAAATGAATTTCTACATAGTACTTCAACAGTATGTTTCATGTTGACAAACACAAAATGAGTTTCTACACATACTTCAACAGTGCACTTCTCTCTGAAAACACAAAACTGAAGTTTCTACATTGTACTTCAACAATGCATTTCTCTATGAAAAACACAAAACAAGCAATACCAGTTCTACATATATTTCAACAGTGCATTTCTCATTGACAATTAAACTTAAAACAAGTTTCTTGGAATCATATAAAAGCACCGCCAGTTAGGTTATAATACCTCTTATTTATAATGATGATGAGCTACATATTCTAGGATTATGTTCAAACAAGCACAGAAATAAATGCAATATAATTGTCACCAGCAATCAGGAGTCTAAATCTTCTAATCAAGCAGGCCTAATAAACCTGGATGTGATTGATTTATGAAAATGGAATTGCAACATAGTAATCAATGCTGTTTTAGAGGACTAAATCTTGTTAATTTTATAGAGTAATCTGAATCATTATATAGGGGAACACTGAGTTATACATGTATTTCTTTTCCCATTCCCTTTCTTTTTTTTTCCTTTTGCTTTTTGCATTAGAGATGCTGCAAAATGTGTACAAAGATTTTAAGGAAATAAAATTGCAGAAAGAAAGTCAAAGATTAAAGAAATGCATCAATATTCATAATCAATGTCATAATTTGCATTGTTTCATGCAAAATATAGCAAAATTTCCTTGTCACATTTTTTTATTCCACTATACAAATAACAAGCAATACTAGGGTTTATTTCATGCATTTTTTACTGCATTACACATTTTATTTGGTGATTTTTTAAACGTTTTATATTTAGCTATCTTAAATTACTAATATGTACTTGGACAATGTTTTGTCTATCAGAACACATTATTAATTTTCATGAATCTTATTAACAAGATTCTGTAAACTTCCCTTGTTAAAAAGAAGATACCACATTTGCAAAAAAACAAAATCATCAAGGAATGATGACATTCAATGAATGCATCATTATTAAAAGCAATGTATCACTTGGTAGTATACATATTTTTGAAATACAAACTGTAGAAGTATCTTTAGCTCATGATTCTTCAAACTATTGAACCTTACAAACCTGACTGCCCACCTTTGAATCTGAAATCATCCATTTACAATGAAGGGATTTCAAAAATCGAACTACTGAAACTGAACAGCCAACAGACAGTCTGGTTAGACTGCATGGCTAATGCTGGCTTGTCTGCCTCTAAAATGGTAGTAAAGGACAGTAAGTTTAATATGACCTTGACCCTTGTGATAACGCACCACCATTGCACCATTGTAGTATCATAGAGTTATATGGTATATAAATACAACATAAAGTTTTCAGTAAAACTCAAACCTCAAGCAGAAACGGATATGTTAATCTATGTTGGTGACTTTAACTTGCTGAATTTATTATAGTGACTTGTCCACCTTTCATTTTTGGATCTGTCTATTATCAAATTTGGGGATATCAAGATGAATGCTTAAAGTTGCTCACCCAACATTACACTAGCCCTGGTCAGACTGCAGGTAAGTGCAGGCTTTTCAGGTGACAAAGGGGGAAATCAGTTTTGGTCCAAGCAGGATAAGAGCTCACTTAATACAGTAGTATCAAAATAATTCCTACTTGTAGATTCTGACATTTCACTATCGTCTTACAAAAAAAAAAAAAATGTTTTTCTTAAGTTTGATCTTTTTTGAAACTTGTATCCGGAGACAAACAATTTCAGCATCTAGTAAAACTGGAGGTACACTCATGGTCTAAACTATTGTATTTAGAAAAGTGCAGTTGTATGGAAACCTTGATATATTATTCCTGACAAAACCAAGCCCTATTTCAATCAGATTCACACTATTTTATAAATGTTCTGTTTTTAAACAGCTTGTCATTAAGTATCAGTTTACGAACCGTACCACGCAGGCAATAAAGCGTCACATCAAATTGCCCTTACCTTAAAAAATCAAATTGACTTGTAATATGATTGCATTTGATTTACAATGAAGGTAAACGGTTCATAATAGAACACCTCAATATCTGATCTAAAAGCGACATTATAAACCATTAGCCATGCCGTATTTACTTGTAACTTAAGGCAACAAGAGCTAAAAGTAATTCTTGGCGTATACGAGATGTAATTAATTGAAAACACTGAGTTCCTCTTATTACCCCCGGCCTTTACACTGTACATTCTATCCTCAAGGGCTAATTAAGGACAATTTTACAAAATTCGAGAAAGCAACAACGGAACGTAAAAGTGAAAGAGAAGACGTGTTGGTTTTTTTGTACTGAAAATTAACTTCACCATTGCAAAAATGACCACTGTTGCTTCTGTGATTTGTTGAAATCATATAATTACGACTATTAAATCGATTTTCTGCTGCAGTGGTGTTGTAACTGTTCCTTTAAGTTGAATGAGTTACGACGGTTTTGCATCAAGCACTCAAAATAAGGCATCATAATTACCAATACTCGGTTCCATTAGAGTCATGTGATTTTTATGAGATCTTATTTTTCTCCCCTAGAAGCAACACTAAAATATTTCAAATTGGAAGACTTCCAAATGGAAAACCTATTTGCTGATGAATAAAATTGTCCTTATTTCCTAAATACGTAACATGAGCTATCCAGAAATTCACAAATTAAAACCGACTATCTTTTGCCTCTTATAAGCACATCTTGTAGTGAAATATCTATTACAGAAGATTAAATTGGGCATTAAAGGGATGAAGTTTACGTAATTAAAAGATTAATTATCCCTCCTGTTGTTAGTGACATTCACTTGGAGAATATATTAAACGCACTTATGAATACTTATAAGAACATATGAACATCTCCAATAATCAAGCTAAAGAAAAAACAATTTCACATCATAATTGTTTTTTGTCTATTGCGGTGTTATTTTTTTCTATTTCAGATGAACACTTTGAATATCCATATCAACAAATGAACATCCCCTATAATAAAGCCAAAGAAAAATCATTTCCCAAATATATTTTTTTCTATGTTTGATGTGTTTTTTTCTAATTATGATTTACATTGTTTTTTGTTATTTTAGTTTTTTATGTCACAATGACACTAAGAATCTGTGAATTATGAATGTTAATTCCTAAAAAAAAATCTAAAGAAAAACAAATTTGCTATTCTAGTGTCAATTACACTAGATTTTAGCACTATCTGTTCACTTACTTTGCAATGAGTTTTACACACCAAAACAAATTTTCACAATATTCTTTATAGAAAATAAATTTTTTTATTACCTCCCTTTATTTTCATGAAATGTTAAATTCAGTAATATCTTTATAAATAATGCTTTTTGGAACTTGATAAAATTGATAAATCTTTATTTGAGCATCATATTTATGATATTAAAGCATAAAAAAATTGTGTTACAGGATCTTTGAAATATTTCTGGATCAGGATGTTAGCTGCTTTAAACTCTTCATGTAAATGTTCTTCATGTAAATGTTCGGATTCATGTTAATGTTCTTCATGTAAATGTTCTTCATGTAAATGTTCATCATGTAAATGTTCTTCATGTAAATGTTCTTCATGTAAATGTTCTTCATGTAAATGTTCATCATGTAAATGTTCTTCATGTAAATGTTCTTCATGTAAATGTTCTTCATGTAAATGTTCTTCATGTACATGTTCTGATTCAGTTAACATTCAAACTGATCAGCCTCGGCACTTGTGGGGTTTTCCACATCTTATTCTGCGGTACAAATATAGCTTCAAACGACACTGTGTTCACAATAGAGTGATGAAAAACATTGCACTTGTT